TGGAAAAACACAATTGTATAACCATTAGAGGTAGATGGAATAGCTGAAATTACTAACTTGCTAGCATCATTAAACTTGAAAAAAAATCAATTCTAATTAGAGCATACTAAGTTTCACTGAAGAACAGTACTGTGCAAACCTCCTTTAAAGAGAGTTCCTTCAGCTTTTACTTCTACCTATACTTTTAATTTTTTCCCATTCATTCTTTTCTCCTCTCTTGGTGCCACTAATTCCATTCTCTGTGATTCTCTTGTTTCAGTATTCTAGATCATCAATTATATCCTCCTTCAATCACTCTCTTGCTCTGACAAGGTTTTCACATTTCTTTATGATCCATTAAAATCTTCAAATTCCAGTCTCTTTCTTTCCTTCTCTTTCACCAACAATTTGCCAAGAAAAGTAGTTTCAATTTTACAGCCTCCACATCCTGACCATCACCACTCAAGTGTTTTTTAACCAGGATGCAAATAAAAATCTCTTGAAAGTATTTCATGACCAGGTTCCACAACCTGAAATATAGATTTGATGGACTTAGGCTGGGGGTAGGGACACTAAATATATGGTGGTTGAAACAACTCCACAGGACAGTCTGATGTACACATCAGATTAAGAATCACTACTTCAAATACCTGTGATGTTTTTCTGGTCATAATAACGTTAATATCCCACCAACTGAGAAATCAACCCTCTACACCAAAGAAAAGAGGAAACCTCCAGGTCATCAAATCCAAGAATCTTAGCATTATGCTCTCTACCCTCTGACAATAATAGTATATTGGTCAGCTTTTCATTACTATAACAAAATACCTAAGGCAGGCCACTTTATAAAGAAAACAGGTTTGGGGCCAGTGCTGTGTCATAGAGAATAAAGCTGCCGCCTGCAGTGTCAGCAGCCCTTATAGGCACAGGTTCAAAACCCGGCTGCTCCGCTTCTGATCCAGCTCTCTGCTATGGCCTGGGAAAGCAGTGGAAGATGGCCCAAGTCCTTGGGCCCCTGCACCCAAGTAGGAGACCTGGAAGAAGCTCCTGGCTCCTGGCTCAGGATCAGCCCAGGTCCAGCCATTGCGGCCATCTGGAGAGTGAACCAATGGATGAAAGATCTCTCTCTCTCTCTCTCTCTTTCTCACTCTCACTCTCTTCCTCTGCCTCTATAACTCTTCCTTTCAAATAAATAAAAAAAAATCTTTAAAAAAGAAAACATGTATATTATGGCTCAAGGTTCTGCACGTACATTCACCAAACAGTATAAGGCAGGCTCTTATGAGGACTCCCCTGAACTGCATCAATCATAGTAGGGAGAGCATGCGTCTGTCTATGTCTACATCTATGTCTATGTGATCTCTCTAACTCTATAAAGAGACATCCTAACAACCTAAACCATTCTAATTACTTGTAAAGGCCCTATCTTTAAACACTGCAGTCAGATTGTTTCCACTCTTAGTGCCATTAACTTAAGAGTTAGGGTCTAAACTCCTGCTTGAGTTCAAGAGGACAAATATTCAAATCATAGCAAACAGCTGTAAGTGCACTCTGCTCTTGTATAAATTTTTGGTCTTTTGGTTTCTTTCCTTTTCTCCGTACCAATTTGTCTGAATGCTATCAAGATAAGTGCCACTCAGTGTTTTCACAGAAGTAGCACCATCATTTGGAACCTTGCTAAATGGAAATTTTTAAACCCTGTCCTTCACATCAGAAATTCTAGGGATGGAACCCAGAAATCTGTCCAATCCTGTGATTATTGTGCATACTGAAGATGGAGAACCATTATGCTAAACAACCTGTTTGAGATACTTGGGAGGAATCTACAAATCCAGAACCAGAGCTGGATCAGGATGGAAGATACCAATGTATCCACATTCCAAAGTCAATCACTAATGAAATTATATCACCAGAAACAAATAAAAATACAAATACATTCGTATGTACTTGACATTGTGATAACGTGCTAAAATACTTGATTTCACTTAAGTTACATAAAAGTATTATAATTATCATTTCCCCAGATGAGAAAACTAATGCTCAGAGAGAAAAGTTTAACATCTTGTCTTGCCTCCCATTTCCATTACCTTGATCATCCTATTATTGTATTCTGCATATAGTTAGAAAAAATTTTGAACAGAATTCTAACATGAGGACTAAACGGAGCTGACTGAGGTTGACTGGTCAAAGAATCAGAGGGAAAAATACAAGGGGCAAATCTAGATGAGGAGTTTTAAGAAGGAAGGTATAATCACAGTGGTTTGGTTTAGAGTATTTTTTTTATTAAATGGGTCTATAGATCTCAGAAAAAGTATCATGGATTCCACTCATCCTCTGGAATTCCAATTTTACACATAAAATTTAAGCACCAACTTGAAGTGTTTTGAGGGGAACACGGTTAATATTATTTTTTAAATGACATGAGCAAAAGGTGCTTTTATGGGTGGATATGGAGGAAATGAAAGCAGGGAAGAAAAAGAGGTTACTAGTGGCTAGCATAGGTTCTCTTCTTTGCAGGCACAGAAACCTGGACTAGACAAGTAGCCAAATTTGGCTCATTTTTAAACTAAAGGATCAATTCCATTCTCTTACATAGTGAGCGATAATTGCCTATGATCTTCTCTCCAACTGATAAATCCATTCAAGTAATGAAGACTGGGAGTAGGGATAATGAGATTGAATGGATATATCATCAAGGATGGGGGAGAGGGGCAGCGACTGGAAGGCTGGTGATGCTGGTGGAGTTAAAAGAAATGTTAAAGACAAGTTGGCAGAAATGATTATATTAAGCCTATCAGGGAACACTATAATGTGAAGACATCCATTAGCTAAAAGCTCAAACCACCTAAAGATTTAGGAAGTGCATAATACCACTTATTAGATTGGAGCTTTCTTTAGTTATATTAGCCTTTAAAGGATGGCATCTGGCAATTTTGATTCATTTGTAAAACTTCCTAAATGCCAGCAGTGCTCTCTTTGCATCCTTCCACAAATGATTAATTTTCTGTTACACGTTGATATTTTACTGGTTTCTTCTCAAATGTTGGCCTTTTTAGGAAATCGGCCTTTTCTCGATCACTATGTCCTCTTTATCTGCTGAGTTTTTGCACTTCTTTTAGAAGGATAAATTATGTCTAATACATGGGAATATATTTCTATACTCACCCTTTACTTATATTCCCAATAATTCTGCTCAAATATTAAATACAATTTCAGCACTCTGAAGTTCTGTTAGTCCATGAACTTTATGTAAAAAGAATGTTTCTACAACATTAATTAACATTGAATTACAAGTTAGTTTATCAGTCATTTACCACATCTCAGGCAGTCCTGTGTACAGAATAACACAGAGGACTGAGGTTTTAGTAGCAAGAGACAAATCCAGTGATAACAATTTAACAGAAAAGGGGACAATTAATTTATTCTGAGGGAGGTGGCTAATTTGTCCAAGAAATAAATTGGGCTGAGTCTGGAAGGATGAATAGGCTTTCACCCAGCAGTGGAAAAAATGAAAAGGCATCCCTAATATACCTTGTCCCACGTTTGGTAATGCTAGCAGCATAATACTTCAAATAACATGAAAATGTAAAAGAGAAAATTACAAATGAACAAGTAGAAATCTTGCTCACTTCATGCCCTGAGAGGGGAGGAATTGTGTCTTGAATCAGTTCAGATCTGAAAGTAAATGTTTATAAAACAGGGTTCACAATCAAGGGAAAGGAGGAGGAGGAAGTTCAGTTTGTTTTGTGGTATCAAGTTAAACAAGTAAAAATATCAACATCTATGCTTGGGAACACATATGCTATCTTTCATAAAAAAATACTAAGTTTGAAAATGAAAGTTATGGGACCTTACCCAATATTACAATATTTGTCCTATGTTTTGTATTCGCTAATACCAGTTTCAAAGATTCTAAATTGAGTCTGCCCCAAAACTTGATGGTACACATACACCCCTAATAATCCACTCTTGATGGAAACAATCAACAGTATCCTAACCAACATTTCACTTACCCTCTCTAGTGCACCTTCACATCCTTCAAAATTCTGGTTTTACACTATGACTACCAAAGGAAAGTAATTTAGCTCTAAGTCTTTCACTGCTCCTCTTCACCCTTTCATTCAATCATTTCCTCTCGAATTCCATTAGTTTCGCTTTTGTCCTGAAGGGGTTTGTAGCAAATACACAAAGCACAATTACCAAATCGATGGTTGCAGTCAGAGTCTGAATACACACTAATTTCCAGTCATATGCTCCTTAGGGCTATTCCTACCACTTATCAAAATCAGCGGACCAGGAAGAAGGAAAAGGCTGAAGCAGGAAGGCTGTTCCCTTCCTTCCACTCCCCACTATGGGCCCCCTAGCTCCCCCTTCCCCCAGGGCCGCACCACGACCTCGCAAGCACCCTCCCTCTACCCGCCCCCGATGTCACCCGCCACTGCCTACAAAACAGTCATAGCCTTTGTTAAAATGTCCAGGAGCACAATGGACCAGAAGAGGGACACATTACCGGGGGCGGGGTAAAGGAAAGTCACACGAATGCCACGCCCTCCTTGGAACTAGCCTAGGCAAGAGCCCACCTCCCCCAAGTCCTCGCCCCCGCAACGGGGAACGTTCTTGGCAACTCCGCGCCCAGGGAAGGCAGCGCTGGGGGAAGGGATGAACACGGGAAGCAGCTCAGGGGCACCAAGCAAGCGGGGGAACCGAAGTTGGGACACCCTCCAGCGCCCTTGGCGAGCCTGCTGAACCTGACAAGCCAGAGTACGGACTTTCAGACTCTGGACCCCCTTCCTTCAATATTACTACTCATACACACCCTCACCCACTCCTGCCACCACGCACTCCGTACCCCACGCGGGCTGGGCCGGACAACCTCAGGCAGCGCCTCCACCGGCGCTGCCGCGCCTCTGACCAGGTTCTCCTCACCAGATTAAAGTCACTCCCATATGCCCTGGTCCCTCCTGGGACACGCGGTGGACCACGTTCCTCAGCTGGGATCCATGCACGAGCGCCACACTTACCGCGCGTCCCGCTCCGCTACTCCGCGTTCTGGGAGCCCCAAGCCGCGCCTGCGCGCTTCCAATACTGCCGAGCCTAAGAGGAGCCAGGAGCCAGGAGACTACGGAAAGGGCGGTGGGAAGCGGCAAGGGCCAGGCCGGGGCGGGGCTTGGAGAGAAGGGGAGGGGCTATGAGTGGGTGGGAAACGAAGGGCGGAGCGTCCCCCAAGAAGACCAAGCTCGCAGGACATCCTACTAGAGCTCTTCCCTCTTGGGATCTGTTTATAACACCCACGGAAAAGTCGTCACGGTCCCTCCGTGCACCCCCACACTCACCCTCGAGGAAGCCTGGGTTGGCGCGGAGCCTAGCAGCCAGCCCTCGGGGCTGCCACGTCTCTGCCTTGAGCAACCCCAGATCCCTGACAGCCTTTCCCCCTTTTGCATGCCTGTCTCACCACATGTTATTCTGTTCCCTCGTCATTTTTCCTGATCACGCGCAGTCCTCGGCCCTCGGGAAGTGAGGGCCATGGAGATTTCTCATAAAGAAACCGCCTATGCAGGGCATCCTAGTTAACATTCCTCGTTCTGTGTGCAAGCCCCGATCGTGGTTGGTTGGTGACTATCCAAACATTGCCCACGGTTACAGCTCAGGGAATTGCCCTTTCCACTAGGACAAAGTCTCTTGCCACTATTTCTGAACAGCTTTTGGTGACAACAATCTGCGCTTTCTTAAAAGAATTTTGAACAAGCCTGATCGCTTATCTTGAGAAGGATGCAGATTGTCAAATAAGACCCATCTTGGACCCTGATTTTTTGGTGGCTGACAGAATTTGAACCTTGTAATTCCAAAACCCTCTCTTAGACTGAGAATATAATGCCCATGCTGTTGTATATAGACTGTGACCTAATGGTTGGAGGTTTTGTTTTTTTGTTTTGTTTTGTTTTGTTTTGGCATTGTAGCATTTTGAGGAGCCTAACCTAATTATTATTCCATGCTGCATGCATGCTTAGTTTTAAGTTCTATGCTTTTTTGTTTAGAATCTGGTCAGCTGTGGCATCTCACATGCTTTCAGATCAGCTATTAAAATAAACACACACCTGTGTGAATCCAAAAGGGATTGGGCTGTGAGCCTGAAATTCACTCCAAACTAATTTCCTCTTGTTTTTACTCTGGTTACGATGAAATTAAGAAACATTTGATCTTTTTAACAATAAAAGAATCACCACAAGGCCACACTAATAGTCTTTTTCAGCAAGTATTTTGATTGTGACAGGAGCAATTTATGGGAGAGTCCGATACTTGCCCTTAGAAATCTGAATATTCTGAAATTGTTCGCATTAACATTTCTAGTTCTTCCATGTGTGTATTTTACAAAGCAGACTTTCTTGAATTCATTTTGTCAAACAAGTCTAGGGAATTGCAGGAAGGACTTATTACATAAAGGTATATGAGTAAACGCAGACAGATTTTGTAGACTGAAAAAAAATCTGTTAAGTGCCTGGAAGTAGAACCTTATCCTACTCATTTCACTAGTAAAATGTTTCATATACAAAAGGCAGTTAAAAAGCACCCTGGTCGGGGCAGGCGCTGTGGCGTAGCAGGTGGAGCTGCCTTCTTCAGGGTCAGCATCCCGTGTGGGCACCAGTTCGAGTCTCAGCTGCTCCACTTCCAATCCAGCTCTCTGCTGTGGCTTGGGAGGGCACTGGAGGATCGCCCAAGTCCTTGGGCCCCTACACCCACGTGGGAGACCCAGAGGAAGCTCTTGGCTCTTGGCTTCGGATCAGCACAGCTCTGGCCATTGCAGCCATCTGGGGAGTGAACTAGCGGATGGAAGACCTCTCTCTCTCTCCCCCTCTGCCTCTCTGTAACTCTGCCTTTCAAATAAATAAATAAATCTTTAAAAATAAAAAAAGCACCCTGGTCAATAAAAGTAATTCGTGCATCATTAACAGATGCATATATGTATTTTAAAAATGTTTCATTTGATTATTATGTTCATTATTTTTTACTTGATTGTGTTCAGGATATTTTGGAATGCCAAAAACTAACATAACAAGCAAAAAGAGAAAGTTATTGTGTAACCCAAGTTATGAAAGGGTAAGTCTGTGATTGCCTTAGGAATAAATGGAACCAGAAACTGGAATGCTTCGAATTCCAGCTCAGGCTCTCAATCCTGCCTCTTTCAAACAGGGTCATTTTTCAGAACCTCTCAAAGTCATGTTCTGCCAGCTTAGAACCGCGACCTCGGACAAACTGTGTGCTCACACCTACCAACTTGCTACCAGACAGCTGTCTCTCTTCCCTCCCTTGCAGTTTTTTTTTTTTATGTTTGTGGTTTTTTGTTTGTTTGTTTGTTTTTGTTTTGTTTTTTGACAGGCAGAGTGGACAGTGAGAGAGAGAGACAGAGAGAAAGGTCTTCCTTTTTTTGCCGTTGGTTCACCCTCCAATGGCCGCCACGGCCGGCGCACTGCGGCCGGTGCACTGAGGCCGGCGCATCGCGCTGATCAGAAAGCAGGAGCCAGTTGCTTCTCCTGGTCTCCCATGCGGGTGCAGGGCCCAAGCACTTGGGCCATCCTCCATTGCACTCCCTGGCCACAGCAAAGAGCTGGCCTGGGAGAGGGGCAACCGGGACAGAATCCGGCACCCCGCCCGGGACTAGAACCCGGTGTGTCGGCGCCGCAAGGCAAAGGATTAGCCTAGTGAGCCACAGCGCTGGCTAAAAAGCCACCTATTTTATTGCAGTTAACCCAAATTAGTTTCCTTACATAAGCTCCAAAATGTTCCTTTTCTTATAAAAAGTATTTATTTATGCTTTGAAAGGCAGAATTATAGAGAGAGGAGGAGAGTGTGTGTGTGTGGGAGAGAGAGAGAGAGAGAGAGAGAGAGATCAATCCTCCATCACTTATTCATTCCCCAAACGGCCATAACAGCCAAGTCTGGACCAAGTGAAAGCCAGGATCCCAGAATTCCATCCCAGTCTCCCACATGGGTGACAGGGGCCCAAGCTTGAACCAGAGCTCAAATGGCATGCAGGCATCTCAGTGGTTTAACCTGCTATGCTACAATGCCAACCCCCAAGAATGTTCTAATTGATAAATTTGAGCTGAATTTCTTTCCAGTTACTTTGCTCTGATATGCCTTTTTAAAAAATAAAGCAGATTTGGGGCTGGCGCTGTGGTGTAGCAGGTAAAGCCGCCGCCTGCAGTGCTGGCATCCCATATGGGTGCTGATTCGAGACCCGGCTGCTCCACTTCTGATCCAGCTCTCTGTATGGTCTACGAAAGCAGTGGAGGATGGGCCCCTGCACCCACCTGGCTCTCTGGCTTCAGATCGGCTCAGCTCTGGCTATTGTGGCCAATTGGGGAGTGAACCAGTGCATGGAAGACTTTCTCTCTCTCTCTCTCTCTCTCTCTCTCTCTCTGCCTCTCATTTCTGTGTGTGACTCTGACTTTCAAATAAATAAATAAAATCTTTAAAAAAATAAAGCAGGTTTAAGAATGAAACTGTTGATATTCCAAATCTCCACCAGCACCCTATCTGAGTTATTCCGTATTTGTCCACTGCTCTTTCCCTTAGAAGTTACTCAACAGTCTGGAAAGGGTCTCAAAAATAATTATCTCAGCCTAATTCTCATCTAATAGTCCAGTCTCTCTTATTCACACCAATCAAGTGTAGGGTCAGTTCTCTGACTGATGTCAAGTCAATATTAGTGACTTGAAAATAAAATGTCTAGCCCTAATCTCTCTCTGAAATTGTTACAACAAGATAATGAATTATTTCTCTTTGAGGCATAAGAAATTAAACTCAGTTTTTCTTCCAAAATCTGCCTTTCATCATGCATTTTCTTTCCTTATTAATGAAACCACAATGTGCTCAAAAGACACATTAGTAGTAGTAAAGCACTCATGATCACTTTTTTGTCTAGCCTCAGTTGTCCATTCATTTTACCTCCTACATGTTTCACATGTTAATTCCACTTCCTCCCTCCTTTCAGACTTATCATTAATCACCTGATACATAACATAGTCTACAAACTATTTTCCCTATCTTTGTCAGATCCCAGATCTGACCCACCCTTCCCAATTCTGTCAGGTATCTTTATGAACACAAACATGATGAAGCTACTGTACTGCTTAAAAACATTTCATGACTCTCATTTTAACATAAACTACAAACTCCTTAAGTAAATCTAATTACTGGCTCAATCACACCTTTTCAAATCCGTCTGCCCACCCCTCATATCTACCTTAAGCTGCTATCTGTATTTGCCTTGTATTTTCCTGCTGTAAAGAATTTTCCATTCTCTCTTTAGCAATTGCACTCTTAGAGATCTAAATCAAAAGACATGAACTATATGAGGGCTTCCCTGTGCCACTTTAGGCAAGGCTATTGTCATTCCCCCTTGCTCTACCAGTATTTGCATCTCTCTTCTTAAGTCTTATGACTCAATGGATTTGTGTCTTCATTTTCCTCCTCACTGAGAGATCTTTAAATGGAGATACAAGAGTGTAACTGTAGCATCAAACACAAAGCATGAAACATATGCAAGTACTTCCAGATGTTGTGAAAATAGAATTAAAAGATAATTTTATTTTGTTGCAAAAATTTTTGAAATCCACATATATGAAGGGTCTTCAAAAAGTTAATGGGAAACCTGTATTATGGAAAAACTATGCATAGACTTCAAAATTCCACTTTCCCTGACCTTTTGAAAGTATCAAGTACACTCATACTAGGTTAGAAAAAAAATCTTGTAAAACAGAAAAAGAACAAAGGAAATTAAGGAAATTTCACGTCATCTTTAACTCATGACTTGCCAATTCTTGTGTTACTGATCATTTCATCAACTTCCAATCTAATACCTCCATAATTGACTCAATCACTCATATCCAGAAGCAGCAAAGGATTGTTCAATTCATTGAGTTTCTACCCTGATAAATTCTTTCCTTTGCAGATTTTTATCAATGTGTTTAGTCCATACTGAATATGTAATTTTAGCATTTGTTATCTTTGTCATATTGTTCCACATGTTTGTATTTTTTACTCCTATGTGATTAATAAACTGCAAGAAAGCAAGGTTTACTTTTTATATTTTATTTGTATAATCTCATAAAATCTTGGTAAACATACGTGTAGCATGAAAGTTCATATGATGAGCTTTAAAACCAGGATT